GGAACCGGATATTAACAAGCGTGAGTTGGAGGCACATTGAATTTATCTGTACCCAGGTAATTGCCTAAGCCACTGTTTTGTTATGGTGACTGTGAGGATCCGCCCAAATATTTCAGCCACGGGCGTTTTTCACTCTATTAGCAGGCGATACGCAACACCCTCACAAAGGCATACTTATTCTATAAATGCCCCCTCTACCATTGGGGACTCAGACAACTTTTGCGTTCCATAGTACACGGTCATGGTTGCTTTTAGCATTTTGTGCTTTACTTTAGATATGGTTAGCTGACCTCTTTCTTGCCCACCAGCTTATCCTCTTACGCTTCTGTCTACAAACTAGCCAAAATTTACGTCTACAATACGGCTCCAGTTTCAAGAAACTAATCAAGGAAACCCTATTCCATTGGGTCCCACGTGGTATGGTATGCGAATCTGTCACGGTTATTGAACTCATGATGCAAAGACACTAGTAATTCCTTCTCTGGAACTTCCAAATCTATCCATTTGCCTCTAAGGGGTAACAGCTTGACCGCACATATGTTCTAGGACTTGAATTCGGTGGCCACGAACTCTCACCTACTTCCGATGGTGCACACGGACAAGCATCAATTAAAAATGTATCATCCCTACACACGCGTGACGTACGTGCTCCTGGTTCATTTGGATTATCCCCCTCTATCCTCTCTCCATCTTCTCGCAGCGTTGTCACTGTACGCTCATTCGAACCGGATTTACCAGCCCTACACAGTGATCTGTCATACGTGGAAATATCTTCTACGATTAGAAGCTGCGCCATCACTAACCGTTTTCATTGGCATTCTTGATTAAGCGCAAGCGTTTAATTCAATCACATTGAGCCGATTGCCTTTCTGTGTGACAACATTCGATACAGAATTCTCGAGGCAGACCGAAAAGCCTAAGCTTATTCCGATCCAGTGTTTCTCAACACACCTGTGAAAAAATTTGTGATCTGTCAATCTGTGTTCAGCGCTCCGTTCCGGTTCCAGTCACTCGCCATTCCTTGTGACCTTGTCAACTAGTGCGCCCTAACTGTCGTATGTTCAAATGTCCCTGAATCTACCGTCATGACATTGTGGGATAAGTTATCGGACGACCAAGACCAATGGAACTCATTTTGCGTGCAGATGAGTGTCAAAGCCAAGCCCATAAACTTATTACGATTTAATCGTCATCCGAACTCGCCACACTATGGCGAACCTAGACTTATTCGAGTAACACTAGAATCCTCCACCGACGGAGAAAACGTTTTGCTCTCCGCAAGCGCGCTAAAACAGCAGTCCTGTGGGATACGCATCTATCCTGATGTCCCTTGGAGCGTGCGACAATCCAAAATAAACACGGAAGAGGGGCACAGCAAGCAAGACCACCTAAACGCAATCTTCATACATCTCGTGCCAGAACATCCATCTAACGATGTTCAAGAGACCAGAAAGCACCATTTAGAACAGTGGCGGTTCATTCATGAAACACTTTCTTTGGATAATATTGTGGCACTATCGCTCATTAGGATACCTCTCTCACTTGTGGTTGAGTCAGAGCAACAAGCAAAGGATTTTTTAGACCGATGGCAGAGAAATCGGAAATATCCTCCTTCCGAAATTCGATTAAAGGTTGCAAACGATTTGTATAGCTCAAATATTAAAGCAACTGAAGAAGCAAGTATGCCGACGAATGTACAGAAGCGCAACTTGACTGCTGCTTTAATTGACTCTGACGTAGGTCTAACCGAAGATTGGGACGCCCCTTGGCCGAATCAAGTTTCAGACCAGGTATCATTATCACCGCAAAAAACGAGTAACTGCCGACCTCCCATCCGTCGGCATTCTCCCACACGTGACGCCTTCACCCATCTGTGAGCTCCTACAGACCGAGAAACTGGCCTGCTTGTGTACGAATGCTCAGGGTCTTTCTAACAAACTGGCCGAACTGAAAGATTACCAAGTTTCCGGGTCGTATGATGACAGTGGTATCTCCGAGACGTGGTTACACACGGGAATGACGGACGCGGAAGTTTCGCTACCCGGCATGTCGCTGATCCGGAACGACAGGCTCACAAAAGGAGGAGGGGTAACTCTGTACTACCGAAACGACTTACAGTGCGAAGCTGTGGAGGATTCAGACTCGCAGTTCCCCGACTCTCTTTGGTGCCGGTTGCAGTTAAAAGGCAGGGACGCTTGCCTTATTGTCTTGGTGTACCGCCCCTAACTCAACACCTGAAACCGACTACCACCTAGCGGCTGCTTTAAAATGCAGTTTACAACAAAAGTACACTCACATTCTTATCATAGGTGATTTCAAAGCACATTGTTTAGAAACCCCCGCCTCGATCGGAGAACAATTCAAAGCAGACCTACAAGATATAGTAACTACTGTTGCTCTTTACAATCACATCACTTTGCCCAATCGGTTCAGAACAGGTTACAGGCCATCTGTGCTGGATCTTGTGCTTACCAACGAGGAGCATATGATTGATGCGTTTGTTTTAGACTGCCCGGTGGGTCGCAGTGATCACGCCGTGTTCAGTTTCAACTTCGTCTGCTATGCAGAATATCTGAATGAGAACGATGAGACTGTGCGAACCATCAGAAGCTACAATCGACTAGCCCAGCTCGTCAGCGCCACAACTTGGTCGTTCCTCGAAGAAGGACCTTCGGATGTCGCCTGGCTCGAGTTCGTCAAAAACTTCAGTCAGCTGATTGCAGAGGCTTCAGAGATAAAAGTTTGCTATAAGTGTAAATCAGTTTATTTCGTTAGGAGCAGAACTCGAAAATGAATGACAGTATGCAACGCAGCATGGCAAGTGTACATAGAAGCTCCAGCACAAGAAACTTGGGACAGTTACGTAGCCCAACGTAACCACTGCACTCAACGTTTAAGAGAAGACAAAACCGCCTATCAGCAGAACATTGCAAAAACCTTCAGTGCTAACCACAAGCTGCTGTACAAGCACATCAATAGCCTGCGAAAGGTGAGGCAAGGATTTCCTCCACTCAGGACGGCTTATTGTCCAACCAGAACGGCTGTGAAAGCAGCAAACGCGCTGCGGATGCAATGCGCCCCCACGTTTCAAAGGGTCCTGTCGCCAAGCGATCTACCAAGCTTTGTCTTCTTTCCAGGACTAACCCACATCACTTTTACCGCGGAGGCTGTATTGCAAAATCTGACGTCTCTACGCAAACACAGCTCGCTGGGGGTGTCGACACCATTCGTTCAGTGGCACTGGAAGCAGCAGCAAGCCAACTGGCAGGAACTTTAGCTCAGTTTTTCCAGCGATGCTTAGACCAGAACCAACTTCCCGCCGTATGGAAGCTTGGGATAATAACTCCGATTGACAAAGGTGGAAGCAGAACTAATCCCTCCAAATACCGCCCTGTATCCCTTCTTCCTATACTCTCCAAGGTCATGGAATCCATAGTTGCCGATGCACTGGTGTGCTATCTGAAAAACGGTAACTTCATCACTCCTGAGCAGTACGGTTTCCGTCGACAGCGATCATGTACAGTGAATTTACTAATTGCACGCAGTAGTTGGATCGAGGCATCTGACGCTGGAGAAGGTGTTGTGATTTACCTGGATTTTTCGAAGGATTCCCATCGTCTAGACCATCGGATACTACTATCCAAACTGCAGCAGTACGGGATCGGCGACCCTCTTTTAAGCTGGATCGCCAACTTTCTACTTCAACGGCAATTAGTGGGCAGAGTTCGGAGCTCTTTATCGGACCGCATACAAGTCGAGTGTGGTATGCCGCAAGGCTCAATTCTAGGTCCACGTTTGTTTTTGGTGTTTATCAATGACCTTGCACAGGGAATCGCTTCAAACTTCCTAATGTTTGCCGACGATATTCAGATTTGGCGCAGGATCCAGGAGAACGCCGACCAGCATCTAATTCAGAGTGACTTCGATACGGTGTATCAATGGTCAATCCAAAACTTATTGCATTTCACTGTCAGTAAATTCAAGGTGCTTTCTATCCGACATCAGAGCAGCTACTCATAGCGGCTATGAAACGAATATACTACAACAATCAACTCTGGAACGTGACTTGGGTGTCCTGGTTCAATATGACTTTGGTTTCTTCAGGCAATCAGAAAACAGCCTCAAAGACTGGAAACCAACACGTCGGGCTGTTGCGATGGGCGTTTAGACAAGTAAACAGCTCCATATTTCAACGAATGCGCAGTGCGTATGTTCGCCCACATATTGAAAAGACAATTCTAGCCTGGCATCGATGGCTGAAACACGACCTCAATGCACTGGAGCAGCCACAACGTCGGACATCTAAGAACGTTATTGGAATGCTCAATCTTTCATACCAACGTTTGGGGTATTCAGTGGAAGCTATCGCAGACTACGAGGTGACCTGATTATGGCATACTTGATTCTGCGAGACCCACATCATGTGTGCCGTCCTTTACTGCAACTCACCAGCAATACTACCCTGAGGGGCCACTCATTGAAACTTGCTGTACTGTATAGCCGCCTGCAGTGCCGCAGTAATTTCTTTTTCATTAGTGTCCGTCACCCGTGGAATGCTCTCCCAGAATCGGTCGTCTCTGCACCGACACTAACAATATTTAAAAGTCGGTTGGACGATGCACTCATCCACTTACACTTTGTTACCTAACACTACGTCTCCATCTTACACCAGGAGTGTACCATGGAAATATCTGTTGTTAACGGTGGGTGCTGTGAATCTAAGAGGATGGCAGGACTACAGCGGAGCAAATGATAAGTCCTCATTTTCATATTTAAATTATTAACTTTTTTACTATCCTTATCATCCTTATTGTTATGTTGACATCCCCACCAACCATTCAACGGGACTTTTAAATCAACGCTTCTTAACCAGTATAAATTCACTGTTCATTGTCCGTTATTTTTATGCTTGCTTCTCAGCCACCACTAACCCTCTTGTAGGCATATGGTCCAGTTTATAGACTTTTACTCATTTTTACCATAAAGTATTCTTTTTGCAGGTAAAGGTCCACATTCAATTGCATCACGCCTTTCCAGCACGTCTTATCTTCTCGGAGATGGCGTGGTGAACTATCGAATTCCGAACGCGTATCGGATCAAATCGACTCCACTGTCTACCGCAAACCATGTTCCCACAGCCGTGAAGTATTTCTGCCTGACTCCTCAAGAAATTACTTTTTATTCTCCGGGTTCTTTTGTGGTAAGCCTAGTCTTCGTTTCGACTGCAAACTAAGGATGAAGTACCCAACCAGATACAGCCTTGTTCCCTTTACGAGCACTTGAGGACAGACGTATTCTAGGCAATATCCCAGAGAGACGGTAAAGCATCAACTCCGGCTTAGCAGCCCGTTGCTCCGCACTGACATACGCTCTCTAACTCCGGTGAATTAGTCATACTCCATAGGATGACTGATGCATTTATATAAGTCCAACGTAGTTTCGGGTAGAATGCGCAAGCTTGACCCCTCCTCACCCTCCAATCAAGTGCAATTTTCTGGCTTGTGCACAAACCTTGGCTATCACAATAATTTGTACAGAAAATTTTTTACCTTACCTAGCAAATGGTTGTTAAAATGATGCACGCAAGCTGTTTCATCATCCCAGTGGTGCTTGTAAATGTCGATACCAGTAGCATATTACTATTCACCCGGTATCGTCTGAATTCCGGACTGAAATACTACCCGCCGTCACCTTTTCAGCCTACCACAACAGCTTCGAACACTTCTGGATTCCTCAGTCAAGTATGCAAGTACGATCAACGTACGCTGAAGATCACTTGCATACCCACTAAGCGCGTCGCTAATGTGGCTGCCCTACCGGTGTCTCCGTGTCCTTGGGATAACGGATATGAGATAGCCACACCTGCCATGCACGGCGACATTTGTCAAAATGTTGTGCTACAGGTGGACTACAGGTGAGCACAAGCTTTCATCGCAAGACATAAATGTTGTCAATCACAAACACACAAAATGCTGATGTCGAATTCTTGATGTTATTCTTTATATTTCGTGGAACCCTCACAATTGATTATATAGTGTTGACAAACAACTACTAATCAACAGTGAACAATGATTTATAACGGGTAAAAAAGCAAGTGCTTGACATGTCCCGTAGGGTGTTTAGAGTGAAAAATGATAGATCAAGGGATAATGGAGTCGTCAGTTCGGGCGATTACAGATTTAACTGCACTACCGTATAAAGGGAGTTTGAAATGAGAATGTATGCACACAAAGCAATAGGGGAAGTCGCTATTGATCACATAATAGGCGAGAAAAAATAAAAAGATAGCAAGGACAACGCTTACTCGTGTGCAACTATGTTGGGTCGACAGGATACAGAAGTTCAGTTTCTATAGTAGTAGCGTTTATCAAGTTTCGTGCAACGGGTTTGGAGTGACTCATTCTCGAGTAGGGTTATGGCACTATCCACTGTCTGTTGTGCATTAATGCCAGCATCTGGTGGTCATGGGCTATAGCACGTAGTGCAAATGTGACAGAGTATTGTCAAGGCGTTTTTTGAAAATGGATAGGGTGAGTGCCTTAATTACATGCTCCGGGAGGGCGTTCCAGGGCTGTGACACTCGAAGGGAGAAATAGTTTCGCTGACATTCGAGGCGGATGTGCTGCTTGACCAACTTAAACTGGTGACCTCTAAGCGGGGTATTTTGACTGAGTATTATAAGGGAATGGCATGGGTGGTTGGGGTTTCTTAGGATCAGGTACACCATTATGGTATCGCCCCTTAGACGCCGATAACGTCCACTATATTTTGAGAGTTTTCAGCCTGAGTCGGTAGGGGAGGCTGGTCAAACCTCTGACGCTCTTCGTTGCCCTAAGTTGTGCAGTATCAAGCGCGGTGAGATAGTGCTTGAGCCAGGGTTGCCATGCTTGAATAGCGTATTCCGCGTGCGGCCTCACGTACGCACTAAGCAGTTTTGGAAAGACTGAAAGGCAAAACTTCCCGAAAGCTCTGCGAAGAAGGCCGAGGTACTGGTTTGCTTTCTTAGCTGCCTCTTTAGTTTGCCTCAAACAACCGAGGTCATCTTGATCTAGCACGCCGAGATCGCACTCATTAGAAGCCCGCAGTAGAATTTGGGGTCCTAGGCGGTATTTGTGCATACTCTTGTGCCGTATGCTGAGAACTTTGCACTTGGTGACGTTGAAATGCAGCACGTTCTCGATGGACCATGTGTACGCTTTGTCCAGGTCCTCCTGTAATGCTGTGTGATCCTCCACTGCAGCTATAGTACGCCATACCTTTAAATCATCAACAAATAGCAAACAGTTAGAAGATAGCACGCTCGCGAGATCATTTATGAAAACCAGGAACAGGCGGGGTCCAAATATCGAGCCTTGAGGTACGCCGCACTGAACTTCGATGGATTCTGACAGGTTGCTTCTAGCGCTCACATTCAAGTGACGTTGCACGAGAAAGTCTCCTATCCAACCCAGAACAGGATCGCCGATTCCATATTTCTGGAGTTTGTGGAGAAGAATGCGATGGTCTATACGGTCGAATGCCTTTGAGAAAGCCAAGTAGGCCGCGTCAACTCCTACACCAGCGTCCAGCTTCCGTCCAGCTTGCATGAGCAATCAACAGATTAGAGGTACACGAGCGATTTTGGTGGAATCCGCGCTGCTCCGGAACGAGAATTTTGTTTTTCTCCAGGTACCCCATCAAATCCTCAACTACAATGGACTAAATAATCTTGGAGATCACAGGAAGTAGTGTTATCGGGCGATAATTTGTTGGTTCAGCATGACTGCCACTTTTGTAGATTGGCGTGATGATTCCGTGCTTCCACATCGTGGGGACGTGCATCTCGTTCAAACATCGTTGAAAGAAAATTGCTAGTGGGGCCGCCAAACTCATGGCAGCAATGTTCAACACCTTCGGGCAAATGCCGTCCGCACCTGGGGAGCTAAACTCACGCAGACATCAACCTCTTCAGTACAGCTGCGGAGGTGAACGATATGTGATTAAGCCCTGATGGCTGCGTTATCTGCTTAGGCAGGATGTGTGATGATTACACGCTTTGGAAGGTACGGCCAAATTGTTGTCCAAAAACGTTGGCCGCCTCTTATGCGGTTCGTGCAAACTCGCATGCTGTATGCAGAGTAGGAATACTGTGCTTAACACGGCGCAAATTGTTTACGTGCCTGTATAGCAGTTTGGGATTGGAGTAGAACTTTTTCACTAGACCTTGTTGGTTCTTCAGTTTATCCTCCCGGACGAGTTTGGCACGGTGGTTTCTTTGTATTGTGTAGACATCCCAGGTATGGTCGTTCGGGGAGGCTATGTAGGTGTGTCATGCCAAGTCCCTTAATACCATGCATTTACGTGTCCTACTCCTTACGAAATACTTCATCCTTTTAGGCCGGCAGAGTTTGGTTTCAGATGTCCTTGTCACGAGCTTGGCAAATATGTTACCGAATTCCCCGCAGGCCACCTCAAGGGTTAATTCAGCTAAGAACGACCAGCTTTTTGCATCAATGAGGTCGGACAGGTCGTGATAGTTGGTTACGACCTAATATTCTTCGGCATGCTCTTTAGGATAATCCGCGTAGCACATGTAATGAAACACTAGCGCCGCATGATCACTGCGGCCCAAAGGAGTATCGGTTATCACCCTCTCGACCATCAGTTCTTCATTGGTGAATATTCGGTCCAACATGGATGGCCTGTCAGTTCCCCTGAACCTGGTGGGCGTAGTGACTTGGCCATAAAGCGGGAAGTCTGAAACCAGATCTTGCACATCTGCTTTGAATTGCTCTCCTAGTGTGGCCTTGGATTCTAGAGCATGTAAGTTGAAGTCGCCGGTGACTAGAATGTGACTGTACTTCCTGTTTATCACTTGCCTCAACGCAGCCATCAAATTGCAGTCCATCTCAGGGGTAGACGATGGTGGACGGTAAACAACAACCAATAGGCCAAGATCGTTCCCTCTCAGCCGGAAATTACACCAAATGGCGTCAGGTACGTCAGGTTTCGAACCGTTTATGGGTTCGCATTGTGTGTTGTTATGAAAGTAAAGGGCTACCCCACCACCTTTGCTGGCTCGATCCTTCCGGACAACGGACATGCCCCTTAGCGCGATTTCAGTATCCGTTATCTCGCGGCGCAACCAGGTTTCGGTGACAGCGATGAGGTCCCAAGCTGCTGACGCGTGTCGAAGTCTTAATTTGGCTAATTTGCTGAGTAGACCTTGGGCATTTATGTACATGCATGAGAGCTTCTCGAAGACCAAAAGTGTGTTAGATTGGATGGATGAAGCAAGTGAGTTTACGCCGACCATTAAAGGGTCGGCGACTAATCGTTTTTGGATGGATTGCATACTCTTGTGAAGTATTTTATATATAAGCAGGTATCAGGTCCCCCGGATCCCGGTGTTTGCTCGTGCTCTGCTGTGTCCCTCTGGATATTATGGCCACTGTTGAAACCGTCCCCGAGTCGGTTCCTGTAGTTGGCGTTTTCATTAATAGTTGTGCCTCCACTGAATTATCATTAGAAGGTGCTGGTGTTCTCGCTACTTTCAGACGAATTTCTCTTCGCAAGCTGCAACGGAATTTAATCCAGTTCTTTAGTAGGGTTTGTGCCTTTAGTTCTGACTATAACACAAGTTTTAACAGCCTGGGACCGCACCCCTTATAGTTGGGTGAAATGGGGATCCTTGTCAACGTGGTGGCCACGACATTTTCGAGAGAAAGAGCCTCCCGGATGTAGTGCGATTGCTCGCGGTCGTGCATCTGAACATCGTCGGAAGAGGAATCATTAAGCTCAGGAACACCGTGAGCAATCAGTGTTTTCTTATCCTGATGTTTTCTGTACCTCGGTTTGTTAGCAGGATCCACTGAACGTTCATTCCACGGGATTTCGGGTAGTATGCGCACTTCACTTGAGTCGTTGCGGAGACAATTCACAGACAGCAGAACGGCCTCAGTCTCGTCCGTCGAGTGTAGTGTTATCCGAACTAACCGGGGTTCGCCGTAGTGCAACGCGTTTGGGTGGCGCGAGATTCTTCTTAATTTCGTGGGATTAGCATGGACACCGATCGACGTGCAGATGGAACCCCACTGATTTCAATCGTCCGTCAACTTACCCTTAATTGTATTGGATTTGGACTCGGAGACATTTGTGCATACAATGTTTAGGGCACCATGGTTGCGCCTGGGGGCTACGGGTTTTGGATATGGAGGCTTAGTATCCGGTGTTTTTGGTGAATTTGTGAACGTCGCTGATGGGTGCCATCCGTGTTGCGACACTTTTGTTTTCTCTAGTGCGGGCACAAAGGTTACCGGTTCTCTTTCCGGTGCTTGCTTGGCGGCAACCGATGTGTACGTTGCCGGGTTGTTCCCTGTTGCTGGTTGACTGTAGCTTAAGGTCTCGTGTGTAGCGAACAGACGACCAGTTGCAGCATACAGTGCAGCAGTTGAGGCAGGCGCGCTGCAGGCAATGTTTTTACTTATGGGAGGGAGAGAGAATGGAGTTGATACTGCTAGAGGCTGAGTCGTTGGGGGTTAGTTTGGAACGCCTGACTCGCTTTTTCGGCCTGACTAGGGAATTCGGGGTGTTATTTCCACTCACAAGTGCAGGTCCGTTTCCTCCCATGGGTGTAACATTGGTGCTCACCAGTTGCTCGACCGCTTCGATTAGTCTTTCACACCTCTTCAGTAGCACAGATAGGCAACTAACAAACGGGATAGAATTGCATACTTGGCAGAACCAAAACGCCTCTGCGGTGTTTGTTTTTGTCGACCCCATCCCAAGCCAGGTAGTGTGATAGGATTTCAAACACATGGTACGCACCAGACCATTTTTACCACTTTGGCAGCTGATTCGCATTTGATCTTCCTACGAGACATGCTCACAGTAGGCGTGCTGTTTTAAGGGGTAGCAAGAGGAACAGTGTCTTAA